TGGAGGGCCAAATCTGCCCTCATTAGTAGACTTGCTGAACTGAAAAGCCACTGCATGACTGCAACAAGTCGAAGATGCTCATGACAAGACACTTGACAAATTAAGTGAACACGTCGGATTAATCCTATTGATGTCTGCGCCACATCAACACAAAAAACCTGTAAAGAAAAGTAGCACACGTGCGTCATGAAAATCCTTAAACAAAAAAAAACTCCACTCCAAGAAAATTTCATTCGACACGTGATGAACCCCCAATAGCACCCTCCAACGATTCCATCAATTGGAAACCTATCGTTGCTACCTGATACCTTTAACCTTTCTTTGTCGTTCAATAAGACCATCATACTTAGCCTTGCCACCCAACTCATATCATAGATTTTCCCGTTTTTCTTTGAGTTGGATTAGGTACCACTTGGCCCTATTCATATTGTCATAAAATTCATGCCACAATTTCTTTTAATAACATTTGTGCATGGTAAAGGGCCTGACTAGTAATAATTATAAAAAAAGAGAGTATTAATTGTTGATGTTGTTACAATTTGCCACCTGGGACTGCCGATTGTGTAGCCGCATGAAGCGAAAGAAAAAAAGTAATAAGACCTTGTCAATAAAAAATTGCAACATTATCCAAGAGTATCTAGTAGATTCATTCAAAGGACAATATAATTATAAATATATATACAATGTTTCTCGAAGTTCACAACATTTGGATAACCTAATAGATTCATTGTATTTAGAGGATCAAAAAAGAAAAAGAAAAGAAACATGACTCGCTCTTATCAACTGTATATTATAGTATGTTGGTGAAAATTGGGGGGCCATCAATTCACCATTTATCTTTTCAATCTCTCCCTTGTAGGGTGAAAGCTGGAATAGTCCCTCTGTTGATTTGGACTGTTCACCTGAACACACACAAAGCACAAAATTATCATCCAGAAAATACAAGTGCATAGAAGTTGTATCCATCAGCAAAAAACATTGATGTCTATGCATATATATTTATCCTTTCATTCTGCAAACAATATATCCGATCTCCATCAACCCAGAGCCACAACATTGGTTAAGTGTAAAGTGTAAACAATATCCAATATCCACATTCATACATCATCTGACTGTGATCGGAGCTTCCTTTTTTCTGTTTTCCTTGGTATCCGTATAATCGAGTTGGTCGGTGAGAGGATGCAGGTGAACGTAAGGCCACGAATCACCTGCAGTCCGCTATGGGAATGATGCGAAGCAACCATCTCAATTATCTCCATCAGCTCAGCAGCTCAGCGGCTAGAGCTAGCTCATCGGCAGTCAAAGCATCGCGCGTTGCATACCTTCACAGACACGCGGAGAATTTCAATTAACACGTACGCTGCACAACAAATTTGCAGCATGCAACCAAATTCATGAAACCAAACGACGTGTCACGCCACCCCCTCCCTCCGCCACTGGAATTTGGGAAGCCGACGTCAACCCCACCATCACTCATCACCATGGGAAGTACGAGAACGAGCACATTTCATCAGGATCGAAGAAATTCAAATCATACCCAAAAGAATCCTGCACTTCCCATAGGTGTTCCATACACGTGGGTACTGACTGAAGACTCGTGTTTGCACGGGGAAAGAACAATGAAAGTGTTGCAGATCCAGGTTTCTTCTTAACTAAATATCTAGGTTATTCGTTCGAGAAAATTACAGTGTCTGTCAAGGAAAGTTCAGATTCGGTGGTTACTTTGATGAAAACAGGAATAAATCACCACCTCATCAAGATACTAAAAATCTCTTAATTATGTAGTTACCAGAAATGGATGATTTCAATATTTCATTACCTATATGGTTCAAACATTCTTAATTGCACATACTTTCTCAGTTTATATCTTACCAACTGTGGAATTTTGTGGCATTATTAATTCATTGCTGCCCTAAGGGTCGACTCACACTAGCGTCTTTAATTTTCTGTTTCCGTTGCTCTCACAGAAAACTGTCTACTGTATGTGCTGAGTTTCGGACAGAGAAGAGTGGAGTTGGTATCTTCATAATCAGTGTAAACTGTTTTGTGGCCTTACGTCACGCTGCGGTAACCGTGAAAAGACAGATTCAACTCTGATTCATAGTATGCGTTATGACTTATGACGGATCCCACCATGTCTGGAGCGAAGTACAGAGCTCGATGCACAGGGTTCTGTCATCTACATCACTGCAACTGCTAGACCACTCAGGAGTTAGTTGTTGGGAAGAAGAAACAAATGCCAACTCTCTTTCAGCTTCTATTTATCTATATATATGTGACAACCTTAGGCATGGATTTGCACCCAGAGGCTCACGACAAAACACACAAAAGAAGTTCAGCTTTCTGCTTCATTTCTTCGTGATGGTGACAGAGTCTGTTTCAATTCTACTTTCTCATTCCTGATCATTTCTCTGCAAGAAAAGCTTTTCGGCTCGCGCTTGTAGTGTTTCTTTCCATTTTGTTAGTTTCACTTCTTCAACTGTTGAATTCAGGAGCAGACGAACTCAGTTGGTTACTCTACGGAAGAATGAATTCAGAATTAAAGCGTGTTTGTGTTCCGGGACCTGTGATAGTAGGTGGTGGGCCGTCGGGGCTCGCCGTTGCTGCATGCCTCAAGGAAAAGGGAGTCCCTTCATTAATACTTGAGAGAGAAGACTGTTTAGGCTCCTTATGGAAACTGAGATCTTACGATCGTCTCACACTTCATATCCCCAAACACTTGTGCGAGCTTCCAAACATGGCGTTTCCACCAGAATATCCAGTCTTCCCAACAAGGCGACAATTCATAAGTTATCTAGATGCCTATGCTGAATGCTTCTCGATTATGCCCAGGTTCGGTCAGGAGGTTAAATGGGCTGAGTACGATTCAACCATGGAGTTGTGGCGGGTGCGAACCCATGACTCGGAGTTTCTCTGCCGGTGGCTCATCGTCGCAACCGGGGAGAATGCAGAACCTGTGTTGCCAGAGATTGCAGGCTTGTCGACTTACCAGGGTCGTCTCCTGCATACTAGTTCGTATGCAAATGGAGCTGAGTTTAAAGGAGAGAAGGTTTTGGTCGTGGGTTGTGGAAACTCTGGCATGGAGATTAGCTTGGATTTATGCGAAAATGGCTCCCAGACTTCGATAGTAGTAAGAGACAAGGTTGTAATTTTATAGTTTGTGGTTCCTTTTCACATGCTTGAGCTTGACAGAAATTTCCTTTCTTTCCATGAACAAACAAACAAGTGAACTACCTCCTTTCTACTGCTTCTCTGTTCTCACTTATGGCGTCATGCGACTTTCTTCTCACTACAGACATCTTAACTCTATGGATGCTTTACACACATACCCTCATATCTCTTTTAAGTAATGGTTAATGTTTTGCATTATTATTTTCCTGATGCATATGATTTAACTTCGGTTTCAGTTTCGGACTTTTAGTTGATCTGGTGAATGTTTCTGAATATTCTTTCTATCGTCTCAGTTTCGGGAGTAGAAATATATATTTTTTAATCTATGAACCTTACTAAAATTTCTTGTTGCTTATGATTTTTGTTTTATGTTTTCGCAGCTGCATGTATTGCCCAAAGAAATGCTCGGAATATCAACGTTTGGTCTTTCAATGTCGCTGCTGAATTGGCTTCCTATAAATCTGGTTGATCGGTTCCTTCTCCTCTGTTCATGGTTCATCCTTGGAGATACACAGAAAGTTGGGATTACAAGACCCAAAATTGGTCCCATTGAAATGAAGATGACTACTGGAAAGACCCCAATTTTGGATGTCGGTACTCTAGCCAAAATCAGGAGTGGAGAAATCAAGGTTTATACTAACTGTCTCAAATAGTACACAGTCGGAATTCATTAATGTTTAGCGAAGTAAATGAAAGCTGCGGTCCTAAAAACGGGAAAAGCATAAAATCATTCTTTGATCAGTTGAAAGAAATCAAAATTTCAACAGATATAAGCAAGCTAGATTAATTTATGTAATAATCACCGTTAGATGGCTGTAACTCATGCAAAAGCCAAATCTATATAGTTACACGGAGAACTTCATTCAACAATATTTTAGCATGAATAGCTTAAGATGTTGGACGAAATTCCTACCCTGAAATGAATAAAGGATCAAGATATTTCACTCAAAGATTTTCTTGAGAGGAAGTTGGCTAAAGATTTTGCCAGCAAACGATAGGTTTTCAACTTTCTACTAATAAAAAGAATTAGTTAATTAATCCGAGTCCTCTAGATATATGAAAAAACATGCTAACTTGTATATGTATTCATCCACATCATTTTGTCTCATTCTTGTAAATTTGGTTATCTCAGGTACTTCCTGCAATCTATAGATTCACCACCAGAGGTGCAGAGTTTGTTGATGGCAGAGTTTTGGAATTTGATTCTATTATTCTAGCAACTGGATACAGAAGCAATGTACCTTCATGGCTCAAGGTAAGTCTGAAAGCCCATGTGTATTTCTTTTAATTTTCAAATGAAAAGCTGGTGGCCTAGTATGTTGTTACCAGGGCCCACCACCCCTTGGATGGAGCAAGATTCAGAAAACTAAACAATCAGGATGACTTGGTTATCTAATTTAAAGCTGAACCTTGGAAGCATGCATGGCTAAGACTGGAAAAGGAAAACAGCCATTCAAGATTGCTTTCTCTTGGTGCAATTTAAATGTCCAAACCAGACACCATTCTATTCTATCTTCATCTTCACAGAATTTGGACATTTGCATCTTGAATGCGAAAAAAGACAAAACTCAGGAAAGTTTGAACAGGTTGTGAATTTCTTTGTCTTGTTTTCTACTTTTGAGTTATCTTCTTTTTTTCTTTCTTTCTAGGAAGGAGAATTCTTTAACAGCCAGGACGGTTATCCAAATAGGCCATTTCCCCACGGTTGGAAAGGAAAGAATGGACTCTACAGTGTGGGTTTCACCAAGCGAGGTTTGTTAGGAGCTTCTATGGATGCACAGAGAGTGGCAGAAGATATAGCACAACAATGGAATTCTGAAACAAAGCACATGTTCTTTGAGCTGTGACTCAAACAGAACCACTGCATATTATAGCTTCCATGTCCAACCTTGCAGCCATTGTTCATATGAATTTTGTGTCAATTTCTCCCCAGTTTAGTTTCCATGAAAAATAATGTGGTATGTAGAAACTTGGTACTTATCCTACATTATGAATGAATGTTTTCATTTGAGATCTCTTGTCTGTTCCCAAAAAATTCTAAAAAAAAAAACCCATAATCTTGGTTGTTGAAATGTCCTAATCATATGCTTAATTTGGAAACTATCTACTACCTAAAATTGGCAGTTCTGAAGGGGCAAAGAACCTTGCTGGATCCATAACTGATCACACTTCAATTTTTTTTTTGTTTTTTTTTTCTGTTTGTGTAGATTAAATATTCAAAATTTTGAACAGTCAGTCTCTTAAATCAAACTTCTTTTTTTTTGTTTTTTTGTTTTCCACAGTGCAAATCCATATAAAACAAAACAGAGAAGGACCCATATATTAGCAATTTGGTTAGGAATATTGGCTTTGACAAACAGTTAAGTCCCTATCTTGGTTAGGATCCCACTAGCCAACTAGCTAGCCTTGGTCCCCACCCACCCTTGTTAAGTTATCCAACAAGAAACATAGAAAAGATCCTTTGAAGTTTGAACATTGCAAGCCCTCTCTGGTCCAGTCAATTACTTCTACAAATAATTGCAGGGCCCATTTGGCTAACCATAAAGCTCTTGGCCTATTTGGGTACCAGAAAGCTTTATCTAGGCTTCCTTACATAAACTTTATTTCTTTTTAGTAGTCACATTCCATCTCTAATCTTCCATTCTCTTTGTTGTATTTTGTTCTATTATGCTTTGAAATTCAACATGAAATAGACATTAATAATAAGACAATTGAAAAAAAAAATAAAAAGAGAAAAAACATTCTCCATATCTTTCTTATTTCATCAAAGCCTAGTATCAATAAGAAGAATTTATACACTTTCAATAAGGCTTCAAAAAAAAAAAAAAAAAAGAATGGTAACACTATAACAAGTCACTCTGTTGGTCCACATAACCAGTGGTCCAGACTCCAGATTACAGATAATATCATCTTGGGATTTTAATGAGGATGTCAGAACAGGCTGAACGTGGCGAAGTTATATATTGAGGACATGGATGAGGTGATCTAAGTCCTGCCAAGCTGAACCATCTTTGTTCGGACTTTCGGGGGAGAGTAGGTAAAGGTGGTTCCTTTGAGGTCTGCCTGAAGTTCCTTTATCAGGGGGAAAGGAAAAAACCTAAAAGTATGCAACCTTTCACTCTCGGAATGAGAGGATACACCAACTCAATAGCACAAATGGCATTTCTTCCAGAACTGTAATTTTGATCTCTACAATCCGAGCAATTGATGTCTAAGGCTGCATGCATGTTGCAGTACAAATTTCACTTGCATTAGTGTAAATGCATGGGAGTGCAAAAGTTGGTATACTTGTGCTTTATATTTGAGCACATTTAGGCGGGTATAAATTCTGTTTATTTGATAAATGGTGCCATGTCATCGTCAAATCAGTATTTATACCATTATGTTGATTTTTATGCATCGATAAAAGATGCTCTTAATTTATGTGCACACCAACCATTAAGGAAGGTTTATTTCAATGCTTATCCAACAATTAAATGTTTATTTACTATTTCGCTGACGTGGTGTCCAATGGTACCTAATTGTCAATAAATGATTTATCAAATATTTTTCTCGGTTTTGAAAATAAATCAAATACAAACATTCAGCCAGGTTTGTGATTGGTCACTCAGCCAGGTTTGTACATGTGCGTTCACACCAGATCCGAATAAAGAATTATTGAGATAAGAGGATTTAGGTGGTTCAAATTTTGCATGTGTTTTTGGGATGCAAAATTTGCACTTCCAATGAATGCACAGAGAGATAAAAAGTACAACTAAAGCAAAACTGAAACGGGTGCAAGTTTTGCACCTGATGAAGATTTGCACTATAATCAATCAAATGCAGCCTTAGTTAATCTAACTAGTCCCAAGACAAAAAGCTATATACGTTTGGTTTGAAAAGTTTTAAGAAATTTTGTAAAATTTCTTATAACCGAAAAGTTCACATCAAACAATTTTGATCTCAGAAAGACAGCCCTGGATGTATTCTCCATGAGGATTATTCCAGTATGACCCCCGGCCCATATGAGAAAACTAACAGCGTTGAATGAACCTAACTGTCCTATCAATAAGAACCTGCTTTGACGTTCAATGAAATCATAGCCATTAGCTTACAAAAGGTCTTCTAATCACCATCCATAGATAAGGTTAAAGGTTCTTATTATATCCATGCTAATGTGGGCATCCAAACAGTCTTCAATCGTGTATGTTAATTAATTTTTGAAATTGTGCTCTGATCTGAAACTGAAAGTAGAATTAATGTTGAAAAAATTTATATAATCTATTCGGGTGATGGTTGACTTGGCCGGGGATGCCATGTGGCTATCTTCGTGGTCGCTCCTCTCTCAATACACATCAGAGCTATGTGTAATGGAGGAGCACGACTAAGAAAAAGTGTTTTACACATACAAGAAAACGGATTCCATCGAGAAAGAGGAGACCTCCCGAATATTTTGGCAGATGCTCTCATCTCGATAACCCCGAAAGTCCTATCCATTTGGGACACGGACGTCCAAATATAAATAGGTATTCCCCGCTCGAGATAAGGGACTTTTGAAAGAACATTCTTTGAATACCTCTCTACACTATCTTTTCGGCTTGAACCAATATTATTCCAACCTGCTTGGACTGGCCACATCTTTCTCTACCCAACTAACTTGAATGTGGTATTACCTACTCAGGGAACAACTCCTCAAACCTCTGACATTTTTTCCTTATTGCAAATCTTGGTGCACGGCTTAGAATTATATGATTATATCTTCGATTTGGAATACCCTGGATCGGATAGCATCATAATCATCCCAACGCCCACCTTTGATGAAATGAGCGAGTTACTGAAACATTGAATGGATCATTTTTAAACTTGGAATCTTTTTTGCTTTTCACTTTCAGCACCCAAGAGTTGATCAAGCACCACCTTGGCTGATAAGCATTGGCTATTTTTGTGGCAATGGGTCGTCGGGTCGAATCATTGATGTTCAGTTTCAGCTGGCCCAACCATAGTTTAGACAAAAAGATCGAAAGGCTGATTGATGGATTTAGTCAAGAGTGGCCATTACTCAGAAGAGGCCACTATTCTTATCCTGAAACCAAAACCCATTCAAGGAAATGATCAAAAGTAAGCAAATACAAAATATCGTTTTCAAAACAAATGTTCTATCTTGAGAAAAATGATTCTTATTGCTCTTTTTAATACCACTCTACAAGTTGCAATCATATCCATCGTAGCTGAACCACAACATATGTTGATAATACGTGCAAGGAATTAAAAGATAATGCTATTTATGTGTATGTCTGAGAGAGAGAGAGAATCTCATCACATGTAAAATATTTTTAAAACCCAACAACTGGTTGGTGGCTCTATCGTTAGGATCTGAGCATTGTTGTAGCAGAGACCTGGGATCAAATAGTTTGAAGATTTTTTTCCCGCTTCCAATAGAGGCAGTTGAGTAGAAAGACCCATGATCATTCATTAGCTTCTAAAGAGTTGCATGGAGATCCATAGTTTCTTGTAATGTGGTATAGAACTTTGGAGCTTGCGTGCACTTCTTGGTAGTAAAATTCGAACTATAAAAAGTCTTCAAAATACAAGATTGGTGATTTGAAGTAACAGCAAAACAATCCGAAACCCAGAAAAAAGATTTGCAACTTGCGAAGAAAAGTAAGTTTGGTGATCCTATTGTACGAGTGATTCCAAAACTCAAAAGCAAAGGTATATATGGACTCTAAACCATTTGCATTTACGCCCACTGATTAGAAGTAGGAGCCGTCATCACTGCCTAAATTCCAGATCTTTTCAGGGCAAAAAACAACAAACATTATGTCCTTTTCTTCTTTTTCCATGTTATTGGGGAGAGAGAGGACATGAGGAATGCTAATTGATTTACAGCCTGCAGATATCCACAAACTTGGCTGAAGAGGTCAATAACGAGACATATAGAGATCACTCAACCAAGTTCCAAAGTTAATTCCAGAAGCACGCACTGAATAACAGAACCAACTTCAATCAATGCAGCTGCTGGTTCATGAACACAAGATAGATTTTATTCTTTATGTGTTAGAGCAAAGTAACGTGTCTCAAGGGAAGGCCACAGCAATAATCACCTGTTTAGTTGTCTAATGTCTACGTTTGTTGGGGGAGGAATGGAAGTCGGTGATTGGGTTTGGCCCACGCACGCCTCTGGTGACTGGTATATGACAGAAAGCAAGCAAACACCACCACCCCCTATGGAATTGGAATGTATCGATCGACGGAGCAGATAGATTCATAGATAGGTCGCAAGTGCCTATGGTCCTGTTGTTTTCAGCATTCGCATCTTCTTTCCATCTCCATCTTCTTCCACAAAGCTTCATGTTGCCAAGTCAAAGACGTCCCTCTATCTATCATTGCTGGTTAGAGTCAACATTCAGCGATTGGGGATGTTGATTACTCATCGAAGAAACCCTTCTTTTTTTATTCCTCATCAGCCTTTTTTTTTTTTTTTATCACGAGCGGAAATCTGAACAATGATACTATACCCTCCCCCTCCCTAGAGGTGTGGGGTGTAAGACTGTAAGTGAGCTGAGCCAACTTACTAGCTACCTGAGCTAGGCTTTCTAAACACTCAAATTCAGCTTGAAGATTATTTATAATATAAATAAATAAATTTATAATCAAATTTCATATTTTTATTTATAATATTTCATAATATTGATTTATTTATAATTGGATTGAACCGAGTCCAGCTCGAGTAGCTTGTGAGACACAAGTAGAGTTTGAGTATGAAACTCAAAACTTGGTCGAGCTTGAATCAAGTCTCGAGCTTCAAGTTTTTGAACCAAGCTCAAGCTCAAGCCATCGGAAACTCGATTCGACTTGGCTCAGTTAC